CCTAAGTCTATTTGCCTCGATCAATAGGGAAGCGAGGCACTAAAGACGAACGTTGGTGTTCCATCACCAAAATATCGGGATATCCATCAACATACGTACAACAACATACATACAAAATACATGCAGAGCACAGTTGTCTGCTTCGGATATGGGAACAATAATGGTGAAAAACCGAAGCCGTGTATTTAGATGATATCGGGACCGGCCTATAGGCTTCCTTTGCTTTTGTTTTATACGGTACAGTAAAGGGCGTGATAGACTGCGCTATTTAATGAGTGTACAAACAAGTAACATTTGGAAAACGCTCGTTGCGACGATAAGTGCTACATCGTGTAAATGGAAAGTGAGAAACGATTTAATCAGCTGCCCGGTGGCCGAGTGGGTAGTATGCTTGCGTTCTACCTGTGAAGTCCTGGGTTTGATCCTCAGTTGGATCAATGGATTCGCACGGCTGATGAGACCCAACCAGGTCGAAACAGCGGTCCAGTGTTTCCTAACGTTTCAATTCACGCTTCATTTGCTATGAACACGACGAACTTCCCCCTTGAAAACTCCAATAAGCAAAACAAGTTGTTTATCGATAATTCATCCACTGGCCACAAGCGATACGTGATTATGGATTAATGATAAACAGAATCATCTCAGTTGGCTGAGAAGATAGGGCCATCCGATACAAAGCTGCATCCAACAGGATCTCTGTACAAGGGATTCGAAGAGAATACTCTGTTCTAAGCAAATGTGACGTGAATAGCTAGCGAGTATCATACATCTATTTTGCCCATGTTGGGTTTCACTAACAGTAGTACAAGCAACTACAAGGATCCAACTGAGGATCAAATCCCGGTCCCCACATGTAGCATATTACACTCTTTACCTCGTCCCTTGCATTGGATTCGTTCATCAGACAAGTTCACTTTGTCTACAAACACGACAGGAAACAGCCTCTCTTCGCTGGGATGTTGCGGGTATTCCAATTCGTTTGTCGTCAGCGTAAGGTGCAGAATGTTCCCAATCAACTCCAAATCCCGGAAAACACTGCTCGATTGTGCAAGGCCAGACACTCTTCACATGATGTTTCATCGTGTGTAGGTAATTTGAAACAGTATGATCACCTGCCCAGCGGTGAATTGGATGCTGTGCTTGTGTCCTTTTTCCAAATGGGCAATCAAAGACAGCAACCAAAACCGGCGCACGAAAGTGCATGGTTAATGGTTGTAAAAACTGAAACTGAACTGTCCTTCTTATGAGATGATGGATTCTATCCTCAGTGTGATCGACTTGTTCGCTGGCTAATGGCTCATGATATTCCGCCAGGTCAGAACAGTCGTGCTGCAATGCCAAGCTTGTCCAAATACAACTTTTTGTTCACTGCGTGCCACGAACTTCCCCAACGAACTTGCTCAGTCCTGAACAACTTAATGACAATGAGAGCACGCTTAAGTTAAGGGTGAGTTCTGTATAATCGGGATAAATCGTAAACTTTACACAACTTACCAAGAACATTCGTCGTATCGATGTAGTGTGTTTCCAACACTTCAATTACTTCGGCCGGTACCTCAGATTGATTTATCTGTCCAAAAGCAGAAGAAAAAACCCGCTATGATTTTACAACCCACAAGTGATAGAGAAGCTTGTGAAAATTTCATCATAGAATGTAAATTGTGTGATCCCCTTGATACTAGTGGACGGATATCTGACTAGATAATTTTTAGTGCGTCACTGGAGCTTCCTATTCCGATAGTCTGATTGTTGAACTGTAATTTTCTTGAGGCACTATTGACTCGCCATTTAATCTATCTCGGGTGTAAACAGCGCAACATAGTTCGACCACTATAGTGTTACTTTGTCATGACTGTGCGGTGCTCAGGCAGGTGGATTCTTTTTGATAATAATCCTCTCTCTCTCCATCTCCCTCGCTTTCTTGCCAGATTGATTCTTACGTTTTTCATGTAGCCACAGATCACACTCTATAAGAAGTGGTCCCACCAAATTCTGATCCTCTGTTTTCAATTCTTTGAGAAATTCAGGCACGTATACCCTCTTCGAGCGTTCACTATTTACTGTTTGAATTATTGCTGTACTGTAAATATGCGTATCTGATGCGAGAGATCGCATAGTAATTTGTTTGCGTTAAAATTTTGTAGTTGTGCACTGATGTGTAGGAATTATCCACATTAAACACAAATCTTCTGAACAAATAGTTTGTTGAACGGAGAGTACTGGTAGTGGGGTCTCACCGTTGACAAGATTCTCCCTTGTCCAGAAGCACCAAAAAGTTTATCTTCGCTCTCGATAGAGCTCAGGACTGGTACTTATTTACCACCTTTCCGGGATTCGAACCCTGGATATCTCATAAATGGTCTATATGTGCTACCTTTGTAAACATTAGATTGCCTTATCTGCATATTCCAGTTTGTTCAGATTTCCGCTTCAATAACTACAAAACAATTGTAGGATGAATGTCAATGGCTGAAGACAGTTAAATATCTGTTAGTTGCTAACCAAAACACTAGCCCACAATTTAGTCTTCCATTCAGGTTCCGACAGATATTCCCAATCAGTCTGCATAACAATTACTGTTTGTACGAGAGCCAGCTAATTTGACTATCGTTTGCGCGCGTGCACACATACACACTCCATGTGAAGGGTTTCGGGGCTCAAATCCCGGATAGATCGGTGCTTATGCATGAGTAAAGAAAATAAAACTCGATTCTGTGATGTTTCATGGGGCCACGGTGGAACTGAGGTTTTGTCCGAAAATGAAAATCCAATGTTGGTCGATCAAAATTAGCGTTTACTCAGATATTTAATTTAGGAAGATACGATGGAATTGACAGTTTCCCTCACATGCATCACATCGCTTTCTCCTCATACGACGAATTTTTGTTGCACCATCTGGAACGCGATTGGTGTTCTCCCGAGGCATATGCTAATCAAACTGTCAATATACTATTCGGAGTGATAGGGAGTGTTATGCGGTCGTGACGGTGTTGTTGTTGTTGGTGGTGGTAGTGGAGTTCGAACGCGTAACCTACCGGCAATGTGATGGTGACAAATGCCACTTCATCAAAATCGCAGTCCTTCACCCGTAAGCAAACTCTCTCGATCTTCCCCCTCCCTTTCAAAATCACCATTCATGCGAAAAATTCGCTCATTAACTGTAGTACGGAACTGCAGAATTTAATTTCTCCCCTCAGTACTGCTAAATCGTTCCTCAGAAAGGAGTGAACAACTCATTCACAATGATAGCATCAACTGTGCCTAATGTTTGGCATTTTGCAGCCTGGAATGGTGCATTGACTGAGCTGATCATGGGACTCGCAGGTCGGGTCTGCTTGTCTCAGTAGTGCTACCCTCTGCAAGTGCAACCCGAGAAAAAAGGTTTAGCCATTTCAAAAAACTTTAATGCCTGTCACACTCTATGTGGTCGTTAACAGGTACCATTTATTCTCTCACATAAATAAAATGTAGGACCTAATGGCGGGGGAAAAGTTGTTTTTCTTTCTCACATTCTACAGTGGATATCCAGCGACAAATGATGGTGGTATCGGGCGCCACAGTGAAATTTCAAGTGACTTTATTTTGTAAACTTTCTCATCGGTTTCGATAATGAGTTCCCTGCCCCCTTCAAAAAAGAAGTATTTAATTGGGTACGAAACATTGACGAGAGTTTTATTTGTGACGCTTATGTGAGACCATGAACCGCACCTGTCGTTTGTGTTATGTTATCAATGTGGAGCGAGCGAGCGGGTGGGCAGGTAGGCAGGTACCGAGGTGAACGATTTTCTCACACAATCTCAGATGTGAACTCGATGGTTATAATTTGACAGCTATTGAAACATAGAATGATGAATTTCATCCAGAAATCTAAGTGATTTGTCATCACAGTTCATGACTGTTGTTAACTGAGTGCCGGGGATGGATTGTAACGACACTGAAAATAATCCCACCCTCTCAACTGTCTCGCGTTCTCGCGCGCGCCATCATTTGTGATTGTTTCATCGCTATCAACGAACGCGCAGTGGTGCCAAGACATCGAAAATTTATGAGTTACAAATCTGTAGACCACAGTTTGTCCTGTCACACACACCCAGATCTGCATGCGTCATTATTGATCGAAGTGCACGAAATTCGAAAACGTCTAGTTCCAGAATGAAGGGTAAACAAAATTTCGGTATACTCCGGTAATTCAGAGAGAGAGAGAGCTGGCTAAACCCGTCATTTGTGTAAGTATTATGAGCTGGTGTCGCGGAGCCACCGAATTCTCACGCTTCGGTTTCAGCAGGTCTAACCAATGTCAATCATTCCGACCAATGATAAAATTCTGATTCCCCGTGTGTATATTTGAAAAACTTCTCGGAAGCGTGCCGGTGGTGGTGGTGGTGGTGGTGGTGGTGGTGGGGTGCCGGTGGAGAGGAGACAGAGGAGGGGGGCGGGCAGTGGAGATTACCGTGTCTAGAAGTGTGCACACACAGTGATACGAATCCTAGCGGTATACGTGCTGCGAATTTGTGACAGAGTTACAATTTTTTATCGTTAAGTCACATTTGCAAGTGGTAAATACCACAAAAAGACTATTGTTCGCTTCTTCATGAGTCCGAAATATATAGAAATACAGACATATGTATATTGTGAGACAAGAAGGAAACATGAAACAACTGGATGATGCAGGGGTTTTCTCCATTTTAGACCACGAGGAGAAAAATGATCCGTGTCAAGTCGATCATTTTCAGGCACAAGCGCGGTGCTATCAGTAACGCATTAGCGGCAAACTGTCGGCCTGTCAGACTGAATCCCCACAGTTAAACTGCGAGCGACTGGGTTACCAGACAGTTGAACGATTGTCAAATTGAATTCCCCCATGCCATCGACTAACACGGTCCATGTTTGCATCTCCATTAGACAAGGTGGTCACATAATGACCCATCATCCGTTCGATTGCAACCAAACACTCACCATTGTCTACGCACTATCCAATCCAAGGTCGTTGAGGTTCGACCGATCTGTGGTTTATCACGTTCATATCATTTGCGGTGTTCAAACGTTTTCAGCCAATATCCATGTACACTGGAACTTTTGCGTGAATTGTGCAGACCGCGTGAAAATCAGTGTGTCAAGTTTTTTGAACCGCTCATCAACGTTATTTTCGCTGGTAGGTACGCGGAAAAAGTTTAGTTATAAAACACATAGATCATATTGGACAACTAATGGGCATCCTCAAGAGGTAATAGGTTGCGATTAGGCGATCACTCATTGACATTGTTCGTGGGAACTGATGCCAATACTTTCGCGTACACTTAGATCACGGAGATGTCCATGCGAGCACCAACTAAAGCTGTTCATTTCGTTTACCTGAGGTTTGATGTATGTCCATCAAATGGTTCAACTCAAAAAATAGAAACCTAGTGGTGCTGAGTTCGAATCCTACCACCACTGTGTATCTTTGCATTTCTGTGTTTCCCCAGGTAGCTTTGTATGGTTTTGTAGCTTTCTTCCTGAAATTTGACCGTACATTTGTATACGAAATAAGCTCAAACACGAACTAAAAACATTTTTTGTTTGTATTTATCGATACATGGACGATGTCCTTCAATGTGTTCACAACTACTCGTCCGCATCATGCTTCAGAAGTTGTCCACCGCATCGGATAGTTATTAAGCATTTCTTCCTTTCCACTAATCTTACACCAAATGTTATCGATTCTTGCGATCAGTTTTCCGAATCACCCAATCCAGTGACGGAATTCTGCCGTGTCGCGTTTAACCTGGTTAACGAGTTACTTGACATCAGCTGCCTCTGTGGTATGCATCATTTATGTAGTACATGATGCTATATAAGTTGGATGGGTGATTTGAATGTGAGAAGATCAGTGCTATCGGTGTGGCCTCGTAGTTGAGTTGATAGAGCGGGCACTGTACAAAAGCATGGGCAGCGTCCATGCGTGAGTTCTATTCCCATCGGGGCTACTGAACCTTTCACAATCTCAAGCTGCAAGACAACAATGTGAACTATGAAGGATTATCTAAAACAGTAACAGTTTATGACCGGATTTCAAAATTACGGTTTCAGCTGTATGTTCAACCTGTGGATTTATGATTATGAAAATAGATCCGTTGTTTGACCCCAGACTTTTTAAAACGTAGGAAATGAACATTCTACCGGACGAGGTCAGGTGTATCCGTTTCAGGTCACGTGTGTTACCTGCAAAATTCCTGTATTCTACCATTTCTACCAGATCACACACCCCACTCCGACAGTTATCTTGTTTTACTTCGGTAGGTCAGAATTGACAATTGTGGTCTACGAAACTCGTCGAGCACAGTGGGGTTTTATCCACTTACAAAACATGAAAATACCCAATTGTTACCATTGTTGTTGTTATACGGTAGTAATGACCGATGTAATGAAAATAGACTATTATATCACCGCTGAACTGCCGCCCTTCTGTTGAAATTCTAGTAACCCAAGTCAGACATAAATTGAACACTGAAAATCTGTAAATTAGCATTCAAAGCACCTGTCATTTTACAGATTGAAAGATATTCAATCTAACTGTTTCAACAATGCAACAAGCGATCCTAGAAGGAAGTCACGAAGAACCCCAGACAGACAGGACGATGAGCAAAATCCGATAGACAGTCCAAAACTGTACTTTCAATCGGTCTTTTTCACAAAGCCAATCAGGAAGCAGCGCGTCATAACGCCGTTTACAGTAAAGTAAATAGGTAAACATGTATAGAAAACCAAAAAGCATTACATTGTTTAGTGCACCTCGATTGGAGGTTCCCAGTTCACAGGATAGCTGGTTCGCTTGTTCAACCTAATAATTCCGAAACCGCACAGAATTATTTGATCATATGTAGCACATTTTGTTTATTGGGTGTTTTGACAAGAAGCTGCGTGAAAGTGTAGATCCTACACAGTAGGAGGTCATTTTATTCCGCCAGTGACGTACCCAGCCCGATGAGTAACACAAGGAAGGTCCGTGGACCTCCATGCAAGAGTACAGTTCCGGTGGACAAGGTACACGCTGTTTATCAGACAAGATCATAGCCAAGCGCTTTCAAATACGGGGTATTACCTCAACAGTATCTCTGTACATCTTTAGGAAATACGTAGTGGGTTTGATATTCTAGAACAATATGCAGAGACAGATTCGCAGAGACATGTCACCATTGTTTTATTCCTATCGGTCCCAATCCGGAGAAACTATTTGTAACTGGGGACAAAATTACCCCTATTTCACGTCCCATTGTGCACATAAAACATACTTTTACCGCATCCGGTACGATAGTCCGGTTCACAAATCGACTGGAGACTTGTTGAGTACATGCCTGGACAATGTTCTCCGGGAACAGGTTTCTGTCATCGGATGAAACAGAAAGCAAACAAAAATGCTGAATGAACAGAATTGGACACAAATGGGGTCAATGAATTCAATGGAATCTTATAAATGCTAAGAAGCACGGGAAAATCCAGACAGGCAGAAGCGTCAAGGTGCTGTGTGTTCAACTAATGAGGCATATTCAGGTTGTTAATGACTTGGGGTTAAGGGAAGTGCTCGTTGCTGTTTTATTTAGTTAAAATCTATATACTCTCCTTGTAATTATGCAGCTGACCACCTGTATACAAATCAGAGTGGTGGGGCGCGGTGGTTTAGCCGCTGTCATAGGTGTGCTTCGGACCCTATGGTTCTAGGTTCGAGCCCGCCACCACCACTCGACTTTGGTGGTAGGCAGCTTTGCTGTTGTCCGATTCAATACGAAGCCTAACCTATCGGGGCCTTATGTGGTTCACCACTCCAAGTCCCGGGGCTGTTACCGGTTTCCATCACTGAACAGCAGGTCCTCATGGCTATGGGGTTCGTCCCGTCTGCTGTTCATCACACAAAAATGTGTAGCAAAAAAAGTATTGGTATTGGTATTCTTTCTGGGGGAAAATGTGCTCATCACACGAAAGCTAAACACGTGCAACATGACGGGCGTGTACAACAAACAGGATCATCTAAATTATGATTAACAAGTCAATCGTGAATATTTAACAAATGAGTATTTGCTCCCGTTTGTTCCTCAGTGATTTTGTAGTTCAAAGAGCGAAACAATAGGGTACAAACTTTTTAAACGAGCGAATAGTTCACGATTCGAGAAGAGGAAAATTTGAGATAAAAATAAATCAAACCATGCACAACAATTGATCCACATTTGCTGCATATATCACTTTGTGTAGGACGGACATCAGTTGGAGAAAATACACAGCTGTTCAAAACGAAAACGAGAACCCCCAGTGAAACAGAAAAATTCAAACACACCGGTACATACACACAAACACAAGTCCATCAACTATCCCAAACTGCTAACAGTTCCCAAGGTTCGAAGAGAACTAATAAGAAGACTTGATTTCCTTGAGTGGTATTCGATAACCTAAATTTAAAATGGAGAGGATCAGTTGATAACCGTATGGCCCTTAAATTAGAACTGTACTGTTTTCGGGTCAGAATATACGCTGAAATAAGGGTGAGAAAACTGTGGTCTGAATGAACAATGGTTATCAGACAATTCTTGGAGGGCCGAATCCCACGAAGCGGTAACATCATCAATGTCAATGGCGTGGTGCACAATGGAACGATGAAGGAATGATTCTACGATATCATCCTCTGTTCTAGCAACGGATTAAATTGATCTTCCAGTATCTTTTGGGTATTTTCAATCAGTGAACGACCTAACTAACTGTTTGAACTGGAACAAACCCTGAAACAGAACCACCACCATCACCTTACAACGTCAGTTTTCTTATTCTGTTCGTGACACTCTGGATTAACATCTATGGAGTCATGCTATTTAAAGGGGTTGATGATAAACTACTTATCATGCTTTTCAGATGCCATATCCCAAGGTTAATTTATCGTCATATGGACAAAATTGGGTTAGCGTAGTTGGTAAAATGCTTCATTCGCGAATGTTGGAATATCGCGCCGACCACTTTGTAGAATCGCCATAAATACATAATTATAAAGATGAGATTGACCATATTGTATGCACAGCATCCATCAACATGAGCTGGAGAAACAAAACAAAATCTTCACAGTTCCAAACTTGCTTGAGTGTATCATGCTATTGGCTTGACTGTCAGACTTGACAAACGATAAGCCTATGTGGTTATAGAACCAATCAAATTGTCTGTGGTTTAGGGAATTCTCCTCCTTCGTATACTCTTTGATTTCAAATCATCAAAGACGGTTTGATGAGAGGTTTATGTAGAGGTTTCGGAGTAAACGGTCAAAATGCCTCAACAACATCATCGTCATCATCGTACAACGTAATACAATGAAATTAGCTTCAGTTATGCATACAAGGTAAGTGAGAATGTGTAAAGAGGAGGGATGGGGCCTATATTTGGGGACGGGAAAACAAAGCAAACCTCTATTGTCAGCACACAGGGTACATATTCCAACTGTGCATGCACACTATTTCAAACAATCTGAAGTGGTAAGAAGTGAGGGAAGATCGTCAATGCTGTCGGTTTGCTACCGTGAGCAATTTGACATTTTGTTTGCAAACGTGTCATCACCAACCGAGGTGACATCATCAGTGCTTATGAAGTGGTCCCTACAGGTCCATGGAACACAAGAACGGTCGGTCGACGGTATGTGTGTACTGTTCGAGAACTTAAGGCAGCGTCAAGGTTAAGCCGATACAACCGCGACTTTGTCGAAATCCTGCTTGTTGTTCGCGGACATTTGTCTCCCCGAAGGGTTCAACTGTTTTCCTTGTCTTTTGCACTCAGTCAATCAATCATTCTGTGTTCCGAACCATTCATATATCCGGCTTTGTGATGATTTTGGTTGCGAGGGTCATAAGAATCCAAACTCATGAATCATCTGATAAACAAAAATGTCCTACGAAATAATATGTTTGATGGTTTTCACAGAACTTCTTTGGTTAAAGATGGGCGGGATGTTTATGGGTGTGTTTTATTAACAATTATGCATAGAAATGCAACATCACCATGGTCCTATGTGAAACATGAAAGCATGAAAAAGTCAAATCGGTGCATGACAAATCCAAAAATAACCCGGTCACTTCCCCGCAAACGTTTACGTTTGTCGTCTCTAATAAAAGCTCATACTAATGAAACGAATAAAACATGATACAATCCAGCGTGCCGAATTTCCAAACAATTTTGTTGACCAGAGAACGCGACAAAAGTGAGCGATAAAAGTATTGGTCGATTGTCCATCGAATTTCACAGGTGAATTCCTCGAAGTTTTATACGGTTGGCATTCTGCTTGAGCACCCACCAATGTAACTTCTCAACAAAATTGTGCATCAGTCAGTGGTGCATCACACTTTTATAAAGGCGGTTATTTGTTCATTCTTGGACTGGTTTGACACGAAAACCTTGTACAGCTGACATGCAAATGTGCCCCAATTTGCGCAATGCTATTTAGGTTTGGGACGTAGAAGAACTACAGAATGGTCTCGATCTTACGAAACAACAGCTGCCATTCTGCAAATCGTTCATGTCGGAATACGCTGGTGTAGTCTAGTGATGTACTGGTCAATCAAAACGGTTCCCAATTTTTTGAATGTATTCCAAGAAATCCTCTATTTTCGCGAGTAAAATTGGTCTAATGTTGCCGTTGGTTCATAGAAATCTACTAGTTATCAATGAGATCCTGTCATGATCTATTTTGCTGAATTTTCATGCCATCACGATAGTAGTATTTCGAGTAACCAGTTCACGTAAATTCATTTTAGTGCCATAACCAAACTAGACATTTATCAATTGTTTGATCACATGCTATGTTCAGTCTGTGATCAGCTCAGTTCTCGGAGCTACAGTCCGCGCGCAGTAAACCGTATCAATCCTTTTTAGTTCATCCGCGGTACATTTTGGACGTTCTTTATAACATCCATACCGAACTGTGGGCGATACTCCAAGCTTCCAAGCTTGACATGGAGCATGTGTTATCGAAGGCCAGACAAATAAATCTGCGTTCGTCCGATTTCCTTATTGGTCTTTTCAAACGTCTTAATCGCCATTAAGGCACACCTTCATACCATGCTCCTCAATGTCCTGCGCTGTCTGGTGACACCGTTCAAACTGGCTCCGATTTAGTAGAACCAAGATAGGTGGCTTTTCTCACTATCTCTTAGTTTCTTTCCAGTCACAATCTAAATGCAGTATGAGTTCCGTGAGGTGTTTATGTGAATAGCAGTTACCGAGAGGGATCGAAAAATAACAATTCCGGTTCTCCTATATTTATCTGTTGCAGAATCCACAAATCAAACTAAACAGCCTATGGCTAAGATTGATCGTTGGTCCGGTTTTGTAAAGGATTTGGGTACGTATGCTCACCGGAACACCCAGTCTGATACATTCATCTCACATTTTATGCGATTTTCGCTAAAATAAGCATTTAGAAAATTATTTATTTCTAAAATTTAGCATCCTATAAGTTCAATTCCATGAATCCAGTGCTGGGTTTAAGTAAACGACCTGGATATGGGGTAAATCGGAAAATACAGAGCCAAATATTTATTCATCTACAGTTAGATAGTAATCTCACGAAAAGCTATTGAACCGTAGTTACTCTGTTCGATGGTATCTTTGGTTCTTCTATTGTAAAAATAGTATATCAGCTAATCCGCTCCAAGAGACTACGAGAATCCACAAACCACCTTTTCACGCGAGCATCATATACACTACTCAAAAATGTGAGTAGTATTTCACAATATCGGATACGATTTTTTCGAAAGCAACAATGAAATACAGTGAATTTCGCTGTGTACAGCGCAAAAGAAGCGTGAAATGGAGCGTTCAGAATCACTGGTCAGCTCTGATGACCTAACTGGGTCCCACTAATAGTGACCGGATCGATCGACCAAAATCAGCAAATCTGGGGTCTCACTGGTGGAACGCCATTCGAACCGGTTTTTATTTTGTGCTATATCGTATTCAGATAGTATGAAAACGCTCTAATCAGCAGTTGGCTGATTCAGAGCGTCGTAGGCCGGCATACTGCATATGCGGTTCTGGGTTCGATCCTTAGTTTTGTCGGTAGATTCGATCAATGCGGATGAAATTTTAAATTTGTTAGATTACAAATAAGCGAAATGATACAGGAAAACGAGGAGGCGGCAAAAATGTCTACAAAAAATTCAGGAAACCATAGCTCTTATTATCTCATGATCATTTCCCTGCCTATCATTTTGGAAAATATCATATCGGTTTGGAAAATAAAATCAGAATATGCGAACTGCATACCGGTCTGTATGTGCACATCATGTTATCCTTTCCACGGTACTAGAGTTCACAGTCTTATCACATTGGCCTAGTTACCCAGTTGACTTCATTGAATT